CAAAAGAGATTGAAAGCATCTTATGCTAGGCTGTGCAATGCTTCACTTTCTAATTCTGAAAGGAGCTTCTGAACCTCTGCAGCCCTATCATTTCCCAGCAGAGACAGATGTCACACTTGCATGGGATCCATGGGGGTTAAGAGGTCACAATGGGCACCACAGGAAGCTTTACCCTTTTACTTGTGAGTTTGTTGTACATACCAAAGGGGCACGTCTCTCACTGGGATGTTATAATCACCATCTTGACATCATTTATTTATTCAAACATTTTTTATGGCTGTCCAGTTCACAAAGAGGGACTCTGGGCAGCTGACCTAGGATAAACAGGAAACCCCCAAAGCACACCACAATAGAATCATAATCAGATGGATGTTTCCCAGACTGTTTCAGAAAGGGCTCGTTTGACACCAGGGGTGTCTGCAGGATGTGGTCAAAGGAGTCACGACAGCATGGCGATGGTGCGACTGGAACATGTGCACACACATAAAAGTCAGGCAGTGCTTTGATCATACTATTACAGCTGCTGTCAGAACCTTGCAATCCAACACTACTAGTTCACTTGCTTAGTCTCTGCCATCACAGTAGCGGGGGGTGGGAGAAGAATGCAATATGAACCATTAGGTGCAAATGGGTTGTTATCTGGTGCCCAGGACTTCCAAGGTCGTCAACCTGGGAACCTGAGGACCTCATCAACATGCACAGAAGAGATTCAAAGACAGAAAGGGTGTGTGTGTGTGTGTGTGTGTGTGTGAAATGGGAATGAATTAAAATTAAGTTTTGGTGCATGCAGGACTCAGTTCCAGCTATGCTTTAGAGCTGTACACTACTTTCCAATAAATGAACTTTTCTTTGAACCTGCATTGGTTTCAATGGGAGTTGCTTTTATTGGAAACTGAGTACCGCAGTTCTTACAGCTGCCATCTTGACTTTTTTGAGCATATGTTTCAGACACCCCTGTTCAATGGCCTGATTAAAAAAAAAAAAAAAGGTTTTCAAGGCCTTAGAGAAGGCCAACAGGGTTGGAGATATCCTAATCTTGGAGAGTAAGTGACAGAGAAAGTATGCACACTGGTGTACACTGGTGCTCCCTCACACTCCAGAGCACCTTTTGGAGATCAAATCCAAGGACGTCCTAACCCAGCCCGATACTAGTTTGGCATTAATCATAGTTCAGCATGTCACTCAAACACTACCATGTACTTAACTTTAATTCTGATTGGTGGAAACCACCCACCCCATAAATTAATCTTTGAAGTTGGCAGGTTTTTCCAATGATAGATGAAATTAGCCAGAGTTTGCAGGTCCACAAACATTCCACATCAGGGAGGGAAGATTTCAACTCCCTTCTTAGATGCTTTATTTCTAAAATCCCCTTTTCCTGAGGGGGATTTTAAAAAGAGGGAAAACTCCACTGATGTCAATGAATAGCTTAAGCAACAGATGGGAAAAACTCAAAGCAAGACCAAATCTCACATTTGAAACCACAATAGGCATAAATGTAACAGAGTTAACTTCCTCCTTCAGTGAACACTGCTAAAATTAAATTGAGCTGCCACAGGAAAAGATTATTATTCCAAGCAACTTTTTGTTGTTGTTGTTGCTGCTGTTGTTGTTAATATGTGAGCAACAGTGGGAAGCAACATGACTCACCACCCACCATATTCCTTTTAAAAACTCCAACTGCTTTTAAATGGCTTTATTAAAAATACTGATGTTTATCCTACCATCTATTATGAAAGCAATATTCTTATGCATGCAAATCCAATCATTCTCTTTTAACACAGAAGGATGACTAAAAATAACTTCTAAAGTTAATATATGGTTATCAAGAATTGCAATAAACATTTAGGATTATTTTTAAAAATCACAGGGGATCCTAAGGGTCATATCATTGTATCCCAAATAGTAAGTGCACTTGTGGAATTTCAGTTTGTCTCTAGTTCATTAACTTTGGTAATGTTCATTGTAAAGGCTGATTCCAAAGTGGAACTACTTCTTTGCTGCAGCTGTGGAAACCTGGTCAGCTAAACTGATTAAGGAGCCTAGACCTTATTATGGAAGGGTGGGCCAGAACATTTACCACGTTTAGGATACAATCACTGTATTCGGATCTGAGTTGAATCCAAAAAAGAGGCAGAGGAAATGTCTTGCAATGCCTTCTTTTGAACTTAGTCTTTTGTGATATGAACTCCATCACTTGTGGACTCCACCCCTGTCCTCCTCATTGGTTAAAGTGGTTAGAAGAGAACAGGAAATCAGATGCAGGCAGTTATCAGCAGGTATATTTGTAAGAGCGGGAGGTTACAGCAGCTTCCTCAGAGGGCCTGACATGAATCGAAGCAAGGATGGATTCTATATATATATCTTTCTATATCTTTCTCTTCTATTGGTACCCTTCTATACCCTCTGTTCTTGGGGAAGTTTGTTTCTGAGCATAATTCAAGGTGCTAGTTATTACTTATAAAGTCCTGTGTAGCTTGGGATCAGATATCTTTGGGACTGCCTATCCCAAGTAAATTTTTCTGGTCTAATCCAATTGAAATACAGAGTATCAGCTGAAGGTCCCATTCTATCAAAAACTACAACAGGAGTTTTCTTCAGAACAGCTTGCTGCTCCTCAAAGCAAGAGCACCTCTACTCTCATGGCCTCCAAAATTGGTCAAGACCTGGCTTTTCGAGAAGCTCCTCAGAAATGGAAAAGCTTGAATTAGGGTAGTGACCAATATGAAGATGCTACTTCTGTAAGCTGATATTATGTATTGCATTATTGTCACATCATATTGTTCCTCTTATTTTGTACGTTGACAGTGGTGTCTGCAGGATATGATTAAAAAAAAAAAGTCAAGACAGAGGCCATGACAGAGTGATTGAAGCTCCTCCCATTTTTTATGTGCAACACACAGAAGAAAGCAAGTGGGGCTTTGATTGCAATGTCAAAAGGTCAAGCTATCATCTTGACTTTTTTTTTTTTTTACCATACCCTGTGGGTACCCTTGTATGGCCTTTTGGAGTAAAGCATTTATGAATCTTGTCAATGAATGAATGGATGGGGGACGGATGGATGGATGAATTTGGTTAATAATGTTGGACCGTTAATAATAAACAATGACTACCCTGATGTTTTTGATATTCAAAGACCTTTGACTCTGGTGGTTTCCCACATAATGGAGAGACAGTGGCTTTAGAGACCATGGAACAATGCCTATATATCCTTGATTGTTTGGTCTTCACCTGTCTCTTGGTTATTGCAATTCCAGAACTGCAATTGAATGAGAGAAGATAGTAGCAGCAGTATCTCCTCTCATTATCCAGCAAACAGAAAATAAATAAATACAGAGAGAAATGCAAAAGAGAGGTGTGAAGAAAAGATATTCGGTGCCCTATGAATTCCTTCCACTGAGATTTTTTTTTCCTTCTATGGCATTTTCCTGGCCAAACCTAACTGGCTATTTGATACAGAATTCCTCTCATTAAGATGGAAGGCTTTGTTTCTACAGAATTGTCCTTGTCAAATCTATTTATGGTAAGTGATCGCAGAATGAAAGCAAAGCAATACACATAGAGGAAAGAACTTGCATGGAGCAGTGAACTTTTGTGGGTCAGGACGGACTGCATCTTACTTATTCAAAATAGTTTGCAGAAGGGATACTTGACATATATTGGTAGAATCTAAAGCAATTACATGATGGACAGACATTGCCCATAAATCTCTGTAGACCTAACCACTAGATGTGTGTGCATAAGTCTGAAGTACATGTTTCTGTTATTCCCACTTGAGATTTCTTAGAAGAAAAAAAGGCACCCATATTATTACTGGAGCCCTATATTCATAAACCTGATTAGACATGAAATTCAGCAGTTGACCTCCAGCTAGTCACTATCTTTGAGTCTGGATAATAAATACATGGTCAAAAAAGCAGAAATTCAAATGAAGGCCCACTTTCATGGGAGAAGTTGGCTAGACTCTGAAACGACTCTCACTTCAGTAGTCCTAACTGGGCCAAGCCGTAACATAGTTTACTAAGTTTTGGCTTAATACCAGAATGGTATGCTGAGCATCACACTCTAGAAGTGCCTGGGACCAACACCTAAACTGAGTGGGGCTACATTTTTACTCATCTTATTTAAATATTACTTTCTATTGCCTTTGTTGTTATTGTTGCACTTTTTCTTACTTTCTTTTACTAGGAAAATTGCCCTCCCAAGAATTTATTTCCTCATCAGTAGAGGGCGCTGTGGTGCTGCTGTTTCTTTTCCAGTACCCTTGCCCCCTCTGCTGGTTAAACAAAATAGTGTAGCTTTCATGCAGCTAAGCTTGGAAACTCAAGGCTGGATTGGGAAGCACCATCTGGGAAGAAGGAACAGCAGATAGAAACAGAAGAAATGGCAGGAATAAAAACATGATAGAGGAGGAGAGAACTATGAAAGGGAAAGCAGGGAGTGAGAAGAAAGCACGTAGAGGCACAGGATAGGAAAAGAGGAGGCAACAGAGAAGGTTAGACAACATGAGTCACTGTTGTGAGATGGGCAGCAATATAAATTATTGAAATAAATAAAATGAAGCCTGAGTGTGTGCTAGAGGTCCCCTGAGACAACCTGCTGGGACACAGAAAGACAAAGAATCATGCTTTTTTGTTTTCCTGGGTTAACCCATACCCAAGCCCAGCCACGGTTTGTTTACTGCATAAACCGTGTTAAACAAATAGCAACTTAGCCCTTCAGGTCAACCCAGCTGTTGAAAAAAATGACTACATTAGAACTTGTACCTCCTGCTAGGAAAAATGGGTTCTTGTGGAGCAATACAGAGGCATTCACACATTAATGAACTGCAAAAAAAAAAAAAGGAAAAAAAAGCCCACTGACTTTTTCAACACTTACATTGAGTAGCTGTTCAAAGGCGTAACTGAACCCTTTTTTGTAATCCGTGATTCCTTTCGCCTGGATTTTATAGACAGCTTCCTTCAGTTTCTTCTTATTCCTCACATTAGCTTGTACAAGATGGTTGAAACAACTGACATTTTGAGCTTTATCATTGAACTGGGAGAGAGGAAGAGAGAGAAGGCAGTCAATAAAGCAGAGAAAGTAAATGAGGAAAGACGTTCCACAAATTAGATTACAAATTAAGTGAGTGATAGCCACTAGGTGTCCTTAAACTGGATCTAAGCATGCTTCTGCAGAATAGAGTTTCCATCAGTACAATATGACTTCAGTATTTTTTCTCCCTTCTGGAGACCCAACCAAATATGCCATGCAGAAGCAAATAGCTTCTAAACTTCCCCAGTTACAAAAGGGGGGGGGGGGAATTGTTATACCATATGGATGAGCATGTAATGTTTAGAGAAAAAAGAGAAAACCTTCAGAGTAGTCCACTGATCTGACAGGAAAGCTAGCTACACACTTCTTTAGAACCTGTAGATTTTGATAATAATGAACCATTGTTCTGTCAAACAGCTTCCTCCCTGTGAAACCTTGGTTTATTTTGTTTACAGCTAGAAATTAAAGAGATCCCCCAGTGGTCTGTGATGGAGGTTGATTGATGGCTTGAGAACATAACAAAACAAGACTAGTTCTTTAATAGATAACAGATAAACAGGTAACAGATAAACCTATTGGATTAACATCAAAGCCAACAGATGCATTAAGGTAACACATTGAAAGTCTGAAGATCACAGAATGAACAACATCTACATCTGTAGAGCATTGAGGCTATGTTTCATTCATTTGAATGCAATAAGTAAAAGAATGAACTGAGGTGCTTCAAATCTCTAAGTCTTCAGCCCAGCCACAAGATTGTTTAGTTCCTCTTAGGTGATGTGATAGCGATGTCCTAACTGAAACAAGTCGTTTCAAGTCATTTGCATTAGATATTTCATTTACCAGTGATTTTGCCTGGATAGAGTAGGCTGTGCTTTATCTGAAATTCCAGTAACAAATTCTACTTTCTTTTATGAAAAGGTAGGCCCTTTTCATCTGAACATTACCATAGTTGGGTAGTGTATTTGTATTTATGGCTTTTCTCTCGATTCAAGAAGGATGGAAAACACAGAGAGTACAACTGTATGTTCATGTGTACCGTGTACCAGGTCAGGGTGGACTGCATATGGCCCCCTCTAGCTCACCTGACTAGGAGAAAGGGAGGTTTAGCATGGCACCATTGCCCACATTCCTGCCTGTTGCCTCTCCCCTACAAATGAAATTTGGCAATTTGGGGGGGGGGGGATTTTTACTCTGCAACTCCCAGCCTGACCCAGCCCAAATTCAAATGCTGTCTTTCTTTGGCTGACTTCTCCCCACCTTCCAAATTTGGTCCTGTTCTGTTCAGTTTTGGAGAGTTGATGGGCCCTTTTTCATAATTTCCATGCCATGTTTCATTGAGATGGAAAGAATGAAACTATTCATCATTCTGATGAGGACTTTCAGGCTATCTGGTTCTGAATGAAGTGTCTAAAGCTGCTGAAGAGCTAGCCTTGGTCTAAATTTCATAAGGATGTAGGACCTGATGGAATAACTGAAAGCTTCTTTGACTCTTTTTTTCCACATTGTCATAACAAAAGGGCTATTAATACACCCTCAGAAAGGATGTCAGTCATCCTAAAAAAGGGACAGATGATAAAAAAGGGAAACCATCATGAGCTGTCATTTTCTGCAACCAAATGCTCCTCCAACATAACAGAGAAATGTTGCATGTGTACTCACCAAATTTATATTGACTCTCCCAGTCACAACATCCACACACATACCCACACACTTTTCTCTCATATGCATACACAACTTTCTCTGTTGGTTTTCTGCCCCCCTCCCTTCACTCATACATACAATTGTGGAATTTTTTTGCTCTTTTTTTTTAATAGCAAATCATGGTAGCATTAGCTGACGGGTAATTAGTTCTTGTTTTTGTTTTAATTTGCACTGGCAGCGAGAGAAAGCAGAACGGCTTGGAAACTTCCCTCAGAGCTCAGCTGTCTCCTCATCTCTTTCCAGCCCTTCCAGTCATTCTGCCTCACCACCATGCAGACTCCTTGGAGAACAGTGCAATTAGTCTCACCCCTACATGTACTCTTATTCCCTCACGAGTCCCACCCTACAAGAGGCCAGCAAAGTAGACATCATATTTGAATTGCAAGCATCGGGCTCATCATTACATGGCAGTAAAGTGATACAGCAAGTTCTTTGCTGCCATCTAGTGAGCGTGTTAGTTTTTGCAGCTCACGTCTGAGCTGCAATGGGAGAAAGAAGCAGAGCAGATAAAAAGGTAGAGGAAAGGTGAGTCCTTCAGACAGAAGAGGTGGACAGGAGCCAGCTAGACTTTAAAAATATCCAGTATCTCTGGCATAATGTCTGGCCACCTTAAGTCATCTGAAGACATGTTTGATGCCTCTCCCAGTTTTTATTACGTTTGGTGAAAAAGATCTAAAAAAAGCACTCTACAGATGTAAACCTCCATTTTCTGCAATACATGGACTACTTTGGTATGCTGGAAGACTTACCCAAGACCCATTAAATCACCAAGTCATTCAATTGTATTCCTACGGTATCCCCTTAACTTGGTTTATTTGATTTATAGCCAACTTTGGTGCTCTAACGAGCACTCAAGGAAGCTTAAAAGTTAAAAGTATAGCTTATAACAAACAAGAACATATGTATTTTATTATTTATTATTTACTAAACTTTTGCCAATATTTGATCTAGCCATCATCATCATCATCAAATAACAACATCTGCCTATCCCAGGTCCTTGGGAAGGACTTGATAGGTGGATA